TATAAATATAAATAATATTTACAATAATTTGTAAATATCTACAAATAATGGCAAAACGAAAGATTCTAAGTGAAAGTGAATTGAAAGAGATTGCTGATAATAAATGAATGTAATTAATTATATCAAAATAAAAATTATTAAAATGTATTTTTTCAACTGAAACAATATACCATTATATAACTATGTTTATTTTATTTTATTGTTTGTAGTAAGCCAAGAAATTTTCAAGTTTTGTTCCTGATAGGCCAAGCTTTCGAAACATAATGCAAATGTATCGTTTGCGTCGGACATCTGTGATTGACGTGGCCTTCTACCAAATCGCGTACGTCAGACATATATGTCTGACATGGCTCATGTAGAACTTCTTAGCGTCAGACACATATGACTGGCATGGCGATTAACGTGTTAATTTGATGTTTAGGCAGAAGTAGGAGTTACGAATTTTAATACAGAATTTTCATTTTATTATTACTTTGTATTGTGTTGTTGTTATATTTTGTGTAAATATTTATATTAATTTCAAAATAGCTATACTGTTTAAAAAACTGCTAATAATGATGATTAAACCAAATATTTTAGTTTAACAGCTAAAAATTATAACTGTAGTTTATTTATTTAATTTCATTGATATAGGTCAAAAAAATCTGTAGTGTAGAAGATATTCAAAAATTAAGTATGTTTCAAATTTTATAAAATAATATGCACTCTATTTTTTTACTTTATTGTTGTAGCATTATTGATTTAAATGACGCTTTATAATTATAGCTATTTATTCAAGTAAAATAATATATAATTAAAATTCATATTAATAACAATTTCAAATATTTATCTAAAATTTAATTCAGGATATCCTTAAAATATGTTGTAATAAGATAAAGGAAACAGCACGAAAGAAGAGCATGACTTCATACATTTAGTAAATAAATTGTAATCAAGTACATAGTTGCCAACCATTAGCATTTTGTATGTTCCAACAGCAGACAGGCACTTTTCCCTTTGTAAGCATTTTTAAAGAATTTGATATTGTCACAAACACTTCATTTAACAAGTCTAACACCAGTATATATGCCAAAGACGTTCTATGTATTTTATTATGAAGAACTGAAGCAAACCAGAATGACGTTCTCAGATTCCTTCAATTGGGAAAGAACCAAGATTAATATTTTTATATATGTATGTTGGTATAGAATTTTAATGACAATGTATGAGAATTTTAGCTCAAATATGATAATTTTAAATGGCAGATATGATAAATTGCATCTTCAAGTCTAGCAAATTTAGTGGCATCATTTTGGCAGTTAAGTCAATTATGGCTGACTCACCAGCAGAAGGAAACAAGTTACTTTTATAGTTATACCAAATTATTGAGCAGAGCTAGTTTCTCTGCCCAAAAAGAAGAAACATCTGATTCATCACTTAAGAATATACAGGGTCTCTCCTGCATTGCTGTATAGCAAAAGGAAAAGACATTCAGTATGATAAGAAAAAGACAAAGATAGGAAATAAATAACCAGAAATATTATTGTCCTTAATAATTGCAGTAAAAGTCAATAAACTGACTGATTGCAACAGTCATGAATACACTGAACTGTAACAAAAAATTATTAACAAAGCAAATCATCATCCAAAGACATTTAACAGGAGGCACTCATCATGCAATATCAAAGATTCATGACACATCATAAATCTACGTGTGAGTTTATGATATGTCCTGTAAAATATTTGAATTTTTTACATTATGATGTTAAAGAGTATAAAACTATTGGCATACTCTTGACAGTGTTTATGGCAATAGCTTTAGAAGATATACACAGAGATAACATTAAATTTTGTCTATTAAAGATATTTAATATAAACATCGCAATATCTATGTTAATAAAGAACTTTTTCACTTTTTATGCTGTCAGTATTTTTATTCAAAAATCAGTGTTTTTCTACCAATGTCCCAGCTAATTCTAAAGGTTAGCAAGTATTCAACTATATTAAATAAAATTTCAATGCTAAGGTTTACTATTAGATTTTGATGAACATATTTATTTGAATATATTAATGATTATTAAGAAACAATAATATCAATATATTTAAATCATTGAGGTGTGTGGAGTGTGTGGTTTAATTCATATTTTAAAGCTACAACATATAAATACAACTTTAAAATAGGCCTACAATATAAATCTATCTAATTTGAAGAATTTTATTTAATTATTAATCCAATGTAATGATTCTCAAGTAAAAATATCATTTGAAACCATCTGCAAATAATAAATGATATCATATGATAAAAATTGATATCATTTGGCAGGAAATATTACTATAGATGATAAATGGCAGGTCAAGTACATTTACTTTCCATATCATTATTTAAGTTTCATTATAAATGTTTTCATTTTTAAATATTGAGTACATAATAGTAACTAATGTCAACTTTATTAAATTAATACTTGTTAATATAACTGTCAAACAACAAATTATTTTGTGCACAAACATGCTTTGTGACAGTCATTAAATATTTATTTAATATCTGCATTTGAAGACATTTTTACAATATAAAAAAATTCACAGTTCTTTTAGAAACTAAAATGTTTTTATTGGGAATATCTTGAGTAGATAAAATCATTTTACTATTACAATTTTTAAACTTTTCCTTACAATAAAAATTGTATTAATAAAATGTTAATTTTCAACTAAATCAGATAAATTAACTGACTATATATGTTTTAATTTATATACAATATATCAAACATCTAAAATTTTAATCTTCATTCTTAAACTTAATTGTCATAGCTCAAATAGTTGTAATTAACAATCTAAACTATGCTTTTATCAATTGGTGAAATCAAATGATAACTGATATGAAAAATCATTTGATCATTTAATCAAAAACCAGTTTGGAAATCATATCAATTATTATTATTATTATTTGAAAATGATGAAATGATATTTTATTAGTAATAACTGCAATCATAAAACATTGCAATATTACTAATAAAATATAATTTCACCATTTTCAAATGATATCATTAATTTATAATGTATACTATAATTTATATTTTATAATGAACTATCAGATGAGCCAGGCACTGCTCAGACAAAAAGTAATGATAGCAAAGATTATTATTATTATTAGATTATAGCCGATCTTACCCGTTTTCACCAAGTACAAGAATTAGGTCCCCACTCTTCCAAGACTAATTAGAGAATTTTTACATATCTGCTTACCACACCAGGATAACAATAAATAAGACTCACTGAAACCACTAACAGGTGCTTAGTACCACTAAGTGATGAATAATAAATGTTTTTTGTAACTCTTTCTGAGTCCTTCTTCAGGTTTACTACATTTGAAAAATAAGCTGGATCTTCCAGAATCATTCATAAATATAAAATCGAACACTAAGATGAAGAGTTCAAATAAAGCAAACTTATGCTCATGCACTCCCTGTGTCAACTTTATGTATGATGAAACACTAAATATCATTGAGAATTTTTAGAAGAATCTAAAAATATGTTTGATATCCTGCATAAATGGAAAAAAGGCATATAAAATAGTACAGTAGAAGCTGAGGTTTTTGGGGGGTAATCCTTAACCAATCTCTCTCCCCCACAGTGGAAATTTCAAAATACCCCTTCTTAGTGTGCATTCTCATGACAAACCCTATTAAAATGCAACCAAAAACGCAAAAAATCGCATCTAAAGTAGTATAATAGAAGCAGAGTTCTTCATGATAAGACTTAATCCTGTCCCTCTCCCCCATGGGGGGAATTTCAAAAAAATCCCTTCTTAGTGTACGTTCTCATGATGTACCCTAAATGTGTACCAATTTCAACTTTCAACTCCTAACCATTTGGGCTCTGCACTTATTATTATTAACAACTCATCTCAATTATGTTATAAGATTAGGGTCAAATTTATGAGAAATTTCGTTTTCACTATTCTATTTATTGGATATTTAATAGATAAATATGATTAAAATCATTATTGAATTTTAACTGAATAAATCTTTAGTACTTAAAAATATTTTTTATTTAAGTAACCTAAAAAATAAAAAATTAAATAACCTATATAATAAAAAAAACAACTCAGAAAATTTTTCATTATAATGGGGAATTAACTTACTTGATGATAACCTTACTCGAATAAAATGATTAATTTTAAACTCTAAAATCTAAAAACCTCATTTGAAACATTATATTTCAAATTCAATATTTTGAATTTGGAATGAATTCAAATATCGTTTATTCTTTTCAAAATATTTGTTTATTTTGGATTTATTGTTTTGGGGTAACCTGAAAGATGGAAATGATTAAAATATTTATTAATTGCCAAAATGTATACTATATGTGCCACTATTTATTTTCCTTCTTTATTATTTACAGTTTATACTGACTAAAACTAACTCTCTCCCGTTCTTCCCTCGAGAGATGGAATTTCCAAAATTCTCTTCTTAGTGTGCACTGTCATGGCGTATCCTAACTGTACCAAATTTTAACTTTCAGCTCCTAATTGTTTAAGTTCTGCACTTATTATCATCATCCAGATTCTCCAGGTGCAAGAATTAGGTCTCCCTCTTTCAAGGCTAATTAGAGAATTTTTAGATTGGTCTAAAAATATGTTCGATTTCCCACAAAAACGCAAAAAACTGTATCTAAAATATTACAGTAAAAGCTGAGTTCTTAAGGATATTCCTTAACCCTCGCCTAGTGTTCTTTTCAAAATTGCTGACCCTGACAATAGGTTTGTTCCAACACAAGTTCCTGACAGGCTTGAATTTGAAACTATATGAGACATGTGCAATGTTATTTTACAGCCAAGAACTGAATAATGCACATGCATGTTTTAAACCATTTAGGGACTTGTGTTGGAACAGACCTAATATTTGGCAGAGATATTTGCAAGTTACAATTTTAAAAGTACATTTTCTGTCGCTCTTAGCCTAGGGATAAAATGGGGATAAGTTTGGGTGAGAGTATGAAGTTAGTGTTTAACTGTTAAAATAAAATACTTGCAAATATTTTTATATATTTGTTTTATCATAATTTCACAATTTCTACCAAAACCAGACAAATTAATAATCAATCCGAACTATGAATTTAAAAACTGTCCTGGTGGTAACACTACCCTCTCCACATGGGGGAATTTTAAAAAATTCCTTCTTAAGGCTGTTATACACGTTACGGAAATCATTTGAGGATTAACCGTGATTTTTTTTCTATCTATCCACCTTTAAATAAAAATAATTCTTTATACGTTGGGAAATATTTTAATAAGTTTTGTAAATTACTATGTTCGATCCAGCCAGTTATATCCGATTTGTTTTGTCTGTTAAGTACATCCTTTGAGGATTTCCGTAACGTGTATAACAGCCTTTAGTGTATATTCTCATAACTTACCTTAACTGTGTACCAAATTTCAACTGTCAACTACTAACTGTTTGGGCTTTGCACTTATTATCATCATCATTATCAACCCATCTCAATTATAAGATATGTAAATTAAATTTAAAAAACCTTATGTTTGAAAAAAATAAATAAATACTTAACTGAAGATAATCATAAAAATAAAATAAAACATTTCCAAAGACAACAAACAAAAACTTGTCTAAAGAAATGTTTTTATAAAACTATAAATTAAAAAAAATATTTAGAATATTTTACTCTGAATCACTTGCATATTAACATTGAGTAAAATATCATATATAGATATCACTTGCTCAACGCATGAAATTAATTGCAACAATCCCTTTATACATGCATATGTGGCATTAACAGTTGTCTTTACTTAACATAGATTGTTTTTCTCAGCAAATAAGGTGTTGGTGAATTTGTTATTTTCGTGATGAAGGTGATTTCCAATATATGAGTTATTCGGAAAGTAATTTTGTTTTTTTTACCACCAGAGGAATTAGTTGTATTTTTACCTGCCAATTTCATTTTAAACCATATTGTCATTATATATTTTGACAGCTGATATTTCAAGGCTTATTTGTAAAAAATTTTGTTTGATTCTGTGAAATTTTTTTTTGGTGTCCCACCAAATATAGAAAATCAAAACCATTATTTTCAGCATATTTTGCTTTTTTTATTATCAAAAAATAAAAATGCTGTTCACAGAAGAAAAAAATTGTGACATGTATGGAGAAGATGTGTTGACAGAACGATAGTGCCAAAACCAGTTCACAAAATTTTGTTCTGGCAATTTCGATATTGAAGCTGATGAAGACAAAATAAAGATATTGATTGAAGCAAACCACTCAATAACAACACAAGAAATCACTGAGAGGTTAAGGAAAGAAAATTAAATATGCAGTTTTTAAAATCACTGATATAGTTTTAATATGGCCCTGGGGGGTCGCCAGAATTTTTTAACTTGTAAAGGGGTCGGGTATTCAAGAAGGTTGAAAAACACTGCTTTAATTAATACCTCTGTATATCAAAAACGAACTCGTGGATTTCTATTTTTTACATTTAAGTGGATCTCATTACATTTTCGGATTCCTGAACGCAATTAATAGAAAATGGCAAAGTTTTATCAAAATCAGCCTAAATTTTGAGAACGAACCCACTGAACTTCCATTGAAGGCGTGCTTAGCGACCGTGGAACATCGCACGAAAAAGTGGCGCGATATTGCTTTATCGCGCACTCTCGTGCTATGAGATTATATTTCGAAAATGAAGTCATGGACCCCATTTTTTATTACATTTTTGGATTCCTCATCGCAAATAATGGAAAATGACAAAGTGTAATCAAAATCGATTGAACAGATTTTGAAAATGAACACAATTCTGTAAGTCACATAGAACCTTCGCTAATGCTCCGCCTCAGTTATGTAGGCTTTTTAAGTTTCGTAAAGGATATAACGGTATACAAAATACCCGTAATGTGTATGGAAAAGATACTCCTAAACTTCAGACATGTCAAATGTGGTATTGAAAGTTTCGTTCGGGAAATTTTGAACTAAAGGATATAAAACATAGGGAATGCTCAAAAGCTGTTGACAAAGAGAAATTTTGCAATAGAACAAAAAGAAATTATCAAAAATCGATGAATAATGTGTGAACTTATAACAAACCATGTCACCGACATATTGATTGTGTCTTGCATGCATTAAGTGGGAGAAAAAAACAAACTGGATCGAGTATAATTTTCTGACAAAGGTGGGCAGCTCTAAGGTTTCATTTTATTTTTAAATTCGTTACTCATTTTTATCATAGAAGACTTTTTTACCGATAACAAAATAATATTTGTTATTAACCGAAAATTTGTTCTAGCTGGTGGAGATTGTTCCGTCGAGTACAGAGATACATACCACTGCATTTGATTAACGGGATTTTGATATATGTGGTAACATCGACAGATATTGTGAAAGCAAACTTATTTTATCGTTCCTCTTCTTGCCACATGTTCTCGCTCACTTGCATCTGCATAGTCACACTCTAAGTCAGTGATTCTCAACCACTGTGCCGTGGCACTTTAGTGTGCCGCTAGATTTTTGAAGTGTGCCGCCATTGCATACATAAGCGACATCAGACAAGTAGTTTAATCGGTTCTACCTTCCTATGGCGCATTTGGAAATTGTAACTGGTGTTACCGGTAACTGCCGGTAGTACCATGTAGTACCAGGTAGTACCGGGTAAACGTTTAGAAAATGTCACGCCAAATTTTTAAATTATTAGAAGTGTACCATGACGAAAAAAAGGTTGAGAATCACTGCTCTAAGTTATGGTTATTTTTGGTATTCCCTCTCTAGCCTTTTTACAAACCAACTATAGAATTGCACATGTTTTGTACTACTCTTTCTACTCTTCTTATAAATACTTTCTTAACACGTTAATCGCCATGATAATATCAGAAAAATTTTTCACATGGGCCATGGTAACTTTATTAGATAATTTAGTTAAAAATGTATCAAGGAAACTTAATGTATCACAGAAAAAATTTTTTTTTGCCAAAATTCCCGGANCTATTTTAAAACTCTAACAATTTTTAAATAAATATTTTTCTTACATTTTCTATTTGATTTCTCACAACAGCAGCCAATTGATGAACATCTATAACAGTAACAGATTTAGAAGAATTTGCCATAATTTGGAGGAAAATACTCCTATAAACCAGGCTGTTCCATTACATCCATCACTTAAAATTTATTTACTGTACTGAAATAAAGATTAAAAAAGTTAAATATACATATATTATTTATATTATTCAATTAAGCAATATTGATGAAATATAAATAAAATTTTGCTGAAATCAAGACTAAGCATTTTGGAAAATGCTTAGAGGATGCTTGCAAAAATTTTCTGAATGATATCCAAACAAATTATATCATTTTTTAAAGTAATAAAGTTAATCAACTTATTTTTAATCACAAAAAGTTACTAATCTCTCATAAGATATGCAATTCTTTCGAAAACTATTTACCTAAATATTTAAATTACCAGAAATAAAAGTATTTTGATATAGTTGTTAATAAATGTTAGTTTATTTTTAATTTATTATATACTGTACTTACTGAAGAGAATTAAAGTATTTTCAATAATTAATTTAATTACTTTTAGTAAGTAATAATTAATTACAAAACACTTGTAAGTAGAAATGTAATTACTACAAATTTCTGCAAAAGATTGATATTTTTCTTGTAGAATCGTTTCTGAAATAAAGATTGTATTTTTAACTGTACTCAGGATAAGTTAAAAACGAACAATCAATTTAATTACTGAAAAGAGATCATTCCTTCTAATGAAATCAAATTTTTCTTCTTCCTTATTTGCATTTGATAGCTGTCTTTATTTTTCTCAGAGTAACTTTTTGATATCACTATAATAAGTCTTTTCCTATCATCTGGTGTGGTACACCAGAGAAAAACATTTTATCAAAACAAAAACTTTACTATCTTTAAAACTTATATTTCAACCTTCAAGAAGTTAGAGAAAATTTTTTCCTTTACATAAAAAAAATCATTACTCAATCCATCTCATAAAGAACCTATTTCCTCACAAACGAAATTATATATTTACGTAACAACTTCTTAAGTCCGTATATTTTATTTTCAATCACTCGTTTAATGTAGTGTGACACTATACGTTTTGTGGGATAATTGTATTTGCCATTTTTTTCGACCTAGAAACAAGTCGAGAAACTTTAAAAATGACATTCACTAAGTAGACTTCATTCAAATTTTAGTCACTTCATGTCGCGATCATTCGCGTTTGATAGGTTGTTCAAAGGTTCTGCATTCTCTAACAGAATTAAATTGTAATTCAGATTGAGTCTTACGTACAAGCTACTCTATCCCGAAAAGTTATCCATTCATAATAAAGTGAAACAAGAACTTTTCTAATTTATAAAAGATCCGGCTTTCGTATCAAAGTCCGAAATCTATTTGTAATAACTGAAGATACGTCTGTCAAATCATCATGAATGAACTAGTGTTGTGGTATTTTAAATAGAGCTCTATTCGGCATTGCAAAAACACATAAAAGCAGCAGAGATCAGTATTATAAATGATAATACAATAACAAAGATTTATTGATAAAAATTATTTATGATTTTGCAATTCGAACAACAATAAAAGCGATGTTAAGATATTCTTTACCTTTACATCATTTTCATCACAAGAATGTGCAAGACAGATTTTTGGAAAGGAAAAAACTTATTGAAACCAAAGTACAATTTACGCATTGAGCGCAAACAGAACACTATTAAATATATTACATGTGAAACTGAAAATTTGTAGCAAATATAGTATGGATCTAAATAATAATCCAATTTAATCCGATAATTTTTATCCGTACTTTCATATTTATAGTATTAATAAGATAAGAATGTGTGTTCAAACATTATCTAGAAAATTGTTAACGTAATATAAACTCGAACATTTTTATTTTTCTTTCTAATTAATAAAGTTAAACGCAATGAAATAGTGACGATTATGAAATCAGTAAACGGATAATCTAATCATTCCCATTAACAAATATTGCACAAAACGTGAAATGTTTAACAGTTTTCGATAAAATAAATTAGTATACGTAACAAATAAATAAGATGTTATACAGTAGAGCGTCGATTTTCCGAATCAATTGGGGACTGGGGTTGTTCGTATAACTGATATTTCGGATAACCGATTTATGTAAGAAAAAATAGTTTAACGTATCCGATGTTAAAATTTTTATCCGTTGCGTGTCGCTTCGCGTTGAATTTTCGTCGATGTTAAGCCTAACAAAGACTATTGTATCGTTAAAAATTATTTTTTTATTTTGTACGAACAAAATAAATATATTGAAAAATATAAAAACAATAAAAAATTATACTTCAGATGTTAATTTAGTATCAAAAACGTAAAATATTTGAGTAGCCCAAGACATAGCCAAAGATTGAAGCGCCACAGCACTGGCGAAAATTTAAATTTGCCGACTGGAATTCTTTCGGATGATTGACTTTCGGAAAATCGACGCTCTACTGTAATTTCTTTTCAAATTTTTCGAATTCTAACCAGTGAATATTTTAGTGCAACTGATGTATTTAAGTCCTTTAAAATAAATTCGCTGACAGGACCAAGTTACTTAAAAAATTTACATGTGTATTGTTGAGAATGCAAGTTTTTATAAAGGCGATTTTATATCTCAGGACTTCGATTAAAAATTGAAATTATCAAATATTAAGGAAAAATTCATCCGAAGTCCATTAAAAATTCGTAAAACTTTTTAGTTTCAGCGGTCGGTATCATCATACTTTTACGAATTAAGAATACGGATTTCCCATTATCCGAAAGTAGAGCGTTCCTGAATGCCTCTTTGGACACAGAACGGTTCATGGTTGCGATTGGAGACAAGGTCATAAATACAATAAACTACAGAAAGTGCATTTTAAAATAACACTTGCAAAAAATGCTACATAATGCACATGATTATACAATATATCACATCAAGTTCCAAGTTTTAACTCAAACTGACATAACCGAATAACAAATACAACACATGAAAAGCTTGCTTACAAACACAAACATCTATACATCCAGGAATCATATTAAAATTCATGCCTTGAACGGTCATGAAAAACAAAATATACAGACTGTGCAATTTTAAGACAAAAAATAATCATTTTAATTGGTAAAACAACAAAATCGGACATCAGACATAGTCGTTCCAAGCCCCCACAACATACGAAATATATGTGCTGAAAAGATTAATAAATATTCAGACCTCGCCCATGAAATAAAGCGTCTATGATGAATGGATAAGATCTCATTGTGCCTGTGGTCTTTTCTTGCACAGATGTCACACCATATACACATACAAAAAATCTTGAAACATTAGAGCTTCTTAACACATATATCATTACAGAATGCTGCTATACCAAACACGTACATAATCAGGAAATTCTTAAATAGACACAAATAACATAAACCAAAACATTTGTTTTCTGAAGTTATGCTTTGATTTTGGTCTGAAATAGCACTAAGCACCGGTATATATGCCATCTAGGATACACTCAGGGCACCACCACCACCACCAACGAAGTGTATATAATCCAAGTAACTTTTATATACAAGAGAGCGTAGTTAGATCACCTATAATAGGAATGGCTCTAACAAATTGTGGATGGCTTTGGAGATTACGAAGTATCCCAGGAAAAGACAGTTCTGGGTCCACTACCCACAGAAAATTTTGAAATATAATACAATACTATAAAATAATGTACAGTACGTACGAAACGGTGCAAAAATATTCAAAATTTAAACGTTCAAAATTACATATTTATTTTAAAAATATAAAATTTTAAATAGAATTTCATCACTTGGAACAGTGGACAGGAATGGCTTAAAATATGGGTGGTTAAACCACCCCTGGCCCTTTCTAGCCTCGGACCTGTATATTCTGTACATCAATTTTTGACAATAATTTTAAAATGATATACTGCAAAATTGATAATCTTAAGTCGTTAGAATAACAAACAATTTCCATTTTTGCAAAAGGTTCAGTTATTAGACTACTTTTTAAATTTAGATTTTTCCCTGTTAACATAGAAACCAGGTTGTTTTTACTGGACTTTTATTTTATTTACGCTTATATATAATATAGCCTATATTTTAATAAGCCTAAGCCTAAATAAAATAAAAATTCCATAAAGATATAATACTGTAATAATAATAATAATAATAAATATATTTATTTATTTATTGGGTATATATTTATATATATATATTTATTACATTATATATACCCAAACATTATACAGACAGACTTCAGGAATTCTATACTTAAAACTTGAAAAGAACAAAAATATGGCAATTGGACCAACAAAATTTTAACACTTCTGAGAGAGACAAATAAGTTGCCAAATTGTTTATTAAAGACGTTCAGAATCAGTATTACATGAAAAAGTAAGAAAAAATTTATAAATTAACTCATAAAAAAAAATCCCTTAAAATAGCTAATTTATCGATACGGCGATAAAACTAACACTACGAAATTTAAAATTTGAGAAATTCCATTTTATCAGATTTTGACAAATTTAAAGAAATCCGATTTTTAATCAGGTCGTAAGAACTCCGTTTCGAAGACGAACAAATTTAAAGCATCTAGTAGCGCACTCACGATTTAATCATAGCGGGAGCTGATTTGAACAGATAAAAAAAATTTAACGTGAATTCAATAAAATTCCCACCTTATATGACCACTAATTCATTGGTAGTCTAGAAATAGAAGATATGACAATATAAATAAAAAATGAATTGGGAAAATATTTCTGGAAAATTTTCAAGTGTTTGTTTTCCTTTTTCTTTGGAGGGTGCCAGGGCCCCATGGCTCCCTCTGGGTGCGCCACTGAAGACATCAAATTACCATTATCAAATATTTCCGCTATTGCGTATGTTATTTTACGAATTTCTCAATCAGATCGAATTTTCGAATTGACGCATTTTAATTATGGTCGTATCGATGGCTGGCAGCTCGGTCGTTTGTTAAAATTTGATAGATTACAGACGTTGAGTTTTATTTGCTCATATTTTCTGAGGTGAGGTTGTTATCCTGTGCATAAAAGCCAGAAATCAAATAAAAGCCCAAAGTGCACTCTTGCATTAACTAACAGGTCGCAAATAAATAATATAAATTTAGAATAGAATTAAACAATTTATGCTTTATTATAACCATTTATTATAAGTTTCAGAAATTGTAATTAAGCTAAAAAAAATTATCAATTAAAAATAGTATAGTTTTTCTATTTTTTTAAGTTGATTTTTCTTGCATTAAATGCAAAAGCTGTTTAAATATTAGTAATTGTTAACAAAACGAAAAGCTACAGAAAAGAAATCATCATTGGTTAATTCGAAAATAATCTTTAAGAGATTTGGAGCAGTAAGGTTTATTATTATTAACTATCAAAATTATTTAAAATTATAAAAACAGATGCCTTCATAAAAAACCCGTTTAAAAAATTATTTATTTTATCAAAATATTCATAAGTAATAGCGAAATCATTCTCGACTGGCGATAATACTTCATCTTAATAATTTATTATAGAAGAAATAAGATTTGAACTAATCCCTTATATATAATTATAAATGTCCAATTGTATCTAGAAATCAATGCGTAATTTACACATTTGAATTATTTACATGTAGTCGAAGAAAACAAACAAATAAACTTAAAACACTGTTTTCGAAAGTCAAATAAATCAAAATATAAATTAAATTCAGTAATTTTTTCAACAATTTAGCAAAAGCAGACACGAAATCTCCTTAAATAATAGCTGCATTGTTACATGCTGTAAGTGTTTTCCCTTTTTATTCAAATTTACAAACAAAAAAATTAATTTGACTTTTAAATAATAATGAAAAAACCAGGACTATTTTGTATTTATTTGCATTTAAAAGTGGGGAAAAAACAAATATATTCGTTATAAATAAAAACCACAGCTTGTTTATTAAAGTGTCAATTATGAAATTTTTCAATTTCGTGAAATTTCGCCAGTACACAAAAGATTTTTAAATCATACTCAAATGTGAAACAAACACGCGATAATTTATTTTTATTATATTAATATTTTAAACTTTAAAAACACGTGGACACGTCCGTCAATTAGCTTCTAATAAATAAATTGATTATTCTTTTTTACTCTAAGTAAACGACGATTATAATTTTCAAACGAATCATTTATGTAAATCGATCAAATTAAATCCATTGTCATATTTGTAAGAGTATATCAAACAATAGCAAATGTTTTGATTAAAGCGGTTAAATGAAAAATTTCAGTTTATCAGACTATATTTATAATAATGATTATATAGATTTTTAAGTCGACACTTATTTTTTAAAATGCTTTTAAACACTAAATTTATTATGATGTATTAATTATAATGATTACTATAATGATCTTAATATGAAAGACAAAAATCCTAAAATCTGTGTAAAAACCAAATGCATTTAAATTAATATTTAAAAATAATAATAATAATGGCAGGAATAGAGCTTTTTCCTTTACCTCCAAATGCACTATTTACAATTTTTTTTTTTTTTGGCTCGATCACATGCAGACAACAAAACAAAGGTTTGTCTATAATTAAACGTAACAGCTCTTACCGAAAGTTTTCGTATAGATGACTCATCGAAATGTCTTTAGGTGAAACCTTTGTTTGATAGATCAACGATACAACGATCGTACACCAGAACGCAGCGTTAGAAAAGATGTTGGTGTTACGCATCTCGCAGACTGAATGATTTACTCGGAGGACGACAGAGGAAGCGCACGAGAAATAAATTCCATCACACAAAACGGGATTAGTCACTATCGGAATGTCCCGATGGATTTACTGAAGATTCTCTTCCCCATCATGATGACTCATCGGCCGCAGATTCCCTCTCCTCCCCCGAACTGTTTGCAGATAAAGAGCATCGGATAAGTAGTATTTCGATCCTAATTCGACTCATATAAAATTAACTAATTTATTTCTTCGGTAAGGAAAACTTTTATGCAATTTCAATAAAATAAACTAGTTCGTTATCTATTTTTTTTAAAGCATTAAATCAATAGCTAATTAAATACGAACACAAACTAGAGACTTTTTCAAACCATCCTTTCGATAAGTTAAAACGTCATTTAAAAATATCGCTAATAAACTTCTTTACGACAAGAACTTTTTTCTTTCAAACACTAAATGAATATTTCTATTACTAGATATAAAATTAAAATCATCATATTAAATATATAATTAATACCTTTAATTATATACTTAACTATTTCTTTAATTCTTTCTCGAAATATTTTTGAGAATTACAAACTACGCAAAAAATTGTATTTTAGACACTTCATGCACAACATAAAAGAAATCAATAAACGATTTCAAAACATTTAAGAACGGATGTTTTTTAAACGTCTTAAAAAAATGTTTACGATTGTAATTATACTAACAATCTACACGAGCTTTCGATGCATTTAAAATAACCATTTGCATAATTTTTTAACAAAGATCTATGCCAAGAAATTTAGTATAATAATAATAATTACAAGTTTAACATCTAGTTTTTATTAATTAAATCGAATGCAAATGAGACTACGGTCGATTGTCGTTAATTTCCTGCCGCGTATGAAAAGCTACTTCCTCATATCCCTGCTTATAACTAATCTGCAGCAATAACAGCTAGAAATTGATGACGGGGCGCGAAGAATAACTGCGGGGATGCAGGGTGGTTTGTGTCGTTTCCCTCAGTATAAGCAATTTTGCATCCTCCTTTGTGCATCACTATAGAAACTACTGACAGTTAATCTCTAAATATCAAATCTTTATCGCCCTTTATTAAGAAACAATTCCCAAAAAAGCAAAATAACAAACGCACTTTAGAGTAAATGATTGTTTAAAATTTCCAATTCGTTTTGAATTATATTTATATATTAGAGGATACACAGAAACGTTATCTTTCAATAATTTCATAATAGAAAGTGACCCAATCTATTAAGTTTCATATCTCTGATTTCAGAGTTATTCCAAATATTTTCTTATCAGCTACTTATATAAATAGCGTGCATAACTCTTGTTCGTAGTCAGGTTCTTAATTTTGCGGATGCGAAACTACTTCCAGCATCCGTGGAATGAAGCTTACCNGTATATTTTTTTATTGAAAAATAATTTGCAAATATTTTCTCGAAAGCATTTAAACTGAAACTAAGTTCTAAAATTTTAACAAAATTTTTCACGAGTCTCTGTGGTAATAAAATAAATTTTAGCAACGATCAATGTTGAGTTTGGGAATTAAATACATATGACATGACACAGAACATTTTCTAACCGTTCTAAACGAGAAATTTGCACGCTATTTTTTTATGATAAAAGTATAAAACGGGAACAGTACTATATTATTTGGCAACGAAAATAATATTTCCTTGCCAGAAGCTAGTCCAAAACCTCTAGAAAATTTCATTTTACTTCATTTCAATTGATGTAATTTAATTATAATGGTAATCTATTATTTCAGTGTTATGCTTTTTCTTCTAATAAATGTAATAATGTAAATTATTGACAAAACATACATAAATTGACACTAAACAAACTCAACCAATACGGAGGCTTAACCACAGATTAACACCGAGAAGAGACACTGCTACGGAAAACAGACTGCTCTCCATACGACAGCTGTGGTAAAGTAATAAAATCGCTATTGATTATAAGGCTACTGGAGATTTTTTAAATTCAAACTGTAATGATAAAAAACGAATAAAAAGACAACAATTAAAAAATGAAAGTTTATTAACTTAAACTTTATTTCTATTTAATTTCTTTAACTTTTTTCTTTCCAAAGTTTTTGTACTTTCGTTTTCATTAATGTTTTAACGATTTGAAAAAGTTCTCAAATTACAAAATAATTCCAGACAATTTTTAAAAGTAGGGCTCTTGTCTCTAAGCCTCCAATTTTTTGTGTGGTTTGTAATTCTCAAAAATATTTCGAGAAAGGAGAATTAAAAGTAATAGTTAAGTAAATAATTAATAGGCATTAATTATATACTTAATACGATTTTTTTAATTTTATGTCTAGTAATAGAAATATTCATTTAGTGTTTGAAAGAAAAACAGTTCTTAAATTCTTAATGTCATAATGAAGTTTTATTAGCGATTTTTTAAAATGTTGTTTTAACTCTTATCGAAAGGATGGTTTGAAATAGTATGGAAAAAGTCTCTTGTTTGTATCTCGTATTTAATTAGCTATTGATTTAATGTTTTTTTTTTTTTAAATCGAGAACAAACTAGTTTATTTAATCTGGGAGCCTCACAAGGGTGGTGCAAAATATTAAAATTTTCACAATTTTACTTCCATTTTCATTTCAACGTGATAAGACAGGACATCTAGCAGACCTGATGCAAACCATTAACTCAGTAATAACTGTTTGTGGAAGCATCTACAAATGTTTACCAGATGGCACTTTACAATAATTTTCTTAATTGTTTTAGTAGTTTGTCAAACTTTCTGGATACTTTGTGTTTGTATGTGTATATGTATGTATGTAATATATATATATATATATATATATTACATACATACATATAAAAACAACCTGTCGGTTTTACATCATTTCAGTGTTGAATTAGTTTTCAGAGATTGTATCAACCAAATATTGTTGTAATAAAGTCAAGTGAAGTATTTCTTCTTTCATGTATTTTTTAAAATAGATTGGTTTTTACTAAACAGTAATAAGTGTCATGAGAGTGAAAGTAAAGAGGACACACTGTCAATCACCAGCAAGAGTGTGAATAAGTGTAAATAATGAAAATATGATGACAGTTATTTGGACTTTGTTTTTACATCAACAGAAGTCAATGGTGAAGAGAGGCCACAATGTAAACTGTGTATGAAAGTTTTGGAACCAGGGTGCATGCTACCAAATAAGTTGAAACACCACATAGAAACCAATCATTCTAGCATGGTTATTAAATCTTGTGACTAGAAAGTTAAGAGTTAAATCAAGAAAAAAACTTAGTTTTTATAAGTAGGCATCAATACAAAGCAATGCTTTGTTAGCATCTTACAAGGTGGCACATAGAAATGCAAGATGTAAGAAGCCTCATATCATTGCAGAAGAATTCATTCTACTGGTCACTGTAGATATGATGAACATTATAATCAGTGAGTCTGCTGGGAAGCAGCTTTTAGCTGCGACTGATGGTGTTATTGGGCAAAAACACTTTGTCAAATAATACCATTAATCACAGAATACAACACATAGCAGAAGACCTCAATGATCAATTAATTGAAAAAATAAAAGGGAGGAAATTTGGTTTGCAGATGGATGAGGCCACAGATAATAATAATGATGTTCACTTGATTTGCTATGCATGATTTATAGATAGTAATAATGTAGATGACCTCTTTTGTAAAAGTATCACTGTTGGTGCTAAGGCTCAAGAATTGTTCAAGATCCTTGATTCTTTTATATTCGAAAATAATTTTGAGCGGACCAAATGTGTTGGTGTCTGTACCGATGGTGCTCTTTCTACGTCCGGCTTATATGGAGGATTGCAGGCACTCATTTGAAGCAAAGCTCCTGATGCACTGTGGACCCATTGTGTCATTCTTAAGGAAGCACTCAGATATTTTGATGAAAGTCCTACCTTAGAACCAGGCCTTAGACTATGTAGTGAATGTAGTAAATTTTATAAAAACTCAGCTGTTGAAGCAAGATTTTTCAAAAAACTATGTTAGAATATGGGATCTGAGCACATGTCTTTGCACTTTGTGATGACTCTTTTATAGTAATGTGTTGTCTTGTACATTTGAACTGTGACAGGAAATTTATATTTTTCTTAAAGAGGAAGACCACAACCATGCTGAAAATTTTGTGAATAAAAGTTTTTTGATAAAACTAGTATACTTATGCAATATTTTTGAAAAGTTAAATGCTCTGAATCTCTTCTTGCAAGGAAGCAACATGCACCTTCAAAGTAAATTGAGAAAATTTCAGCTTTTTAAAAAAATTAAAACTGAAAAGGAAAAATAAATGAAGACAGAGGAAAATAATGTTTGCCCTTGTTGCAACCAACTGCTTTTGTCCTCTAATGGAGTTGATTTCTTTCAAGGTATGAAATCCATTTTTGAAGAACATTTATCACAACTTATCATAAACCAGGTTTATCACCTGATTTATGAAATATTTTCAAAATGATAATATCAATAAATTTGCATGAATTCAAGATCCATTTAACACCAGTGCTCCATCTGAATTTATTGCTGCAGAAGAAGAGAATCTTATTGAGTTGTCTTGCGACAATACATTGAAAACAAAATTTAGTAGCATGGAATTAACTGAAGTTTGGATATCAGTAAAAGATGAATATCCCCTTCTGTGTGGTAAAGTTCAGATAATTTTAATTCCATTTTCACCTTCTTATTTATGTGAAGCTGGGTTTTTGACTGTTTATGTGATAAAAACTAAGTATCGTGCAAAAATCAATGTGGAAGAGGAAATGAGTCAGTGTCCAGTTTGATTCCAAGATTTGAGAAAATGTGAGGTGATAAACAGGAACATCCATCTCACTAATTAATTACAATTAGTTGAATTTGTTCAATTATATTTTTTTGTTATCTTCAATACATGTTTTATTTATTTTCACCTAATGTCGTAACACTTTAATTAAAAAAAAATTATTGGCTATTTTGCAAAGTGTACTTGTTAGAATTTGACATAGGGAACACCTTGAGAAAAACCTGGATTTAGCAAGAGTGCCAAGAATCAAAAAAGTTTGGGAACCAATGACTTAATCAATTATAATTTAAATAATTTTTTATCAGATGATAATTTTATTAATGAGTTTTCCTAATTTACTCAAAAATACAATAATAAACAATATTATGTTAGAAATTAGAAATAAAAAAATACAAATTCAGATAATATAATTCTCTTACAACAGAAAAAGAAAATTTTATATATTATATAAGAATTATCAGTAAAACCTTAAAAAATTCTATACTTTTGATAGATCTAGAGCAGGGGTTCCCAACTTGTGTTCTGTAGAAGACTAGGGTTCTGCCAATAAAATTTAGAGTTCCACAATATGTTGAGTTTAGTGATGTATGAATATGCCAATGCAATTTGGGATATGAGGTGTAATTGTTGTCTAGAATCAAGTCTTCTTATGACATACATGTGCTA